TTATAATATTTTTTTAGATTTTATATACCAATCATCAAAAATATTAAATATTATATTTTCATAATCCAAATTTAAAAATTTATATTTTAATCCTCCAAAATTTTCAATGGGTAATAAGACTAGTTATTATGAAAACCGAAAAATTTTGGGTGATTAAAATTCTAATTTTTAAATTTAATAGATTAAAATATTAATTTTTAAATTTAAAAACCATATTTTTTTAAAGAGAGAAATGCCAAGACCGGATTTTTCACCGAATCTCTTTTTGTATTATTCCTAGTTATCGCTGCTCCCACAATCTCGCATCTCAAGCCCAAAGATTCCTCTCAGATTCTCCTCCGCTTCTTCTCGGCCGATCTGCAAAGTTGACTGTCAGGTCCAATGAGCGTGCTCAGAACCTCAGTCTCTTCTTTCTTCCTCACCAGAATCGATCCTGATGGCTTCATCTCCGTTGACAGAAGCCGACGGCGCTTTACAGCCTCCGCTACGCTTTCGGAACAGCTTGACGGCACGCAGAGCAAGGTGAGCGGCGATTCTTTCATTCGCCTCCACCTCAAGAAACTTTCTCCCTATCAGCCAATCCTGCCATTTGAGGTAATCCATTCTTAACCTAAGCTTGCTTTAGCGGAAAGTTCGTTCCTTTTTCATGCATGCAAACTGTTTGTTGAATTCCCTCTTCGCACCTTATGAAGATCCAAATTAAGAAAAAAAAAAGATTCAAGGTCGAAATGGAGCCAAATTATGTTTTATGTATATATTTTGTTTTGGGGCACAGCATTTTGTAATTGCCAATGATTTGATTTTCATCAAATAGGGATTGGTAGATTTCAGAATGGTTTGTTTGGTTTGGGAAGTGGTTTACATAGGTTGAATACAAATTTATGCTTGAACCAGATTGATTTATGTAATGTGGCTTTAATTAGCTTTAATTAGTTTCAAATTTTAGCCAAAAATGAAAATTTTATTTTAACTCAGTCTTAAGCTTAATTGATGGTTATTAATTAATGGATGGTTATTAATTTGATTTGGAGAATTGTGCTATTGGGAACTGATGAAGTATTAGGTGTTCAAAATTAATAAATTTTGAAATTTTTTATATCAATTTTTTTTTTATTTTAAATTTTAAATTTTGAAATTTAGAAGTTGGCTAATTCACTTGTTGGCAATTTTTTAGGAGTTATTTGTAAAGAAGTATATCATACACATCAATTGATGTGACCCATGTTTCACCATGCAAAATTAAGCCCAAGAGTTTCCATGAAAGTCATTAGATAGTTGCATATCAACATCCCAAGGGTGGTGTCAAGTCCAAGATGAAGTGGATAGCCCCCCCTCCCTTCAAATGTAAATTCAAATCAAGAGATGCCTCCATGAAAGCATCTTTTTGCTTGCAACTACTAGCCTTCTTCTCTCCTTCATTTGAAGTTGAATTTAAATGGTGTAATTGTAGTTTAAATGTTGTAGTCGGATTGTTATTATCCCATTTATATATATAAATTATGATAATTACTAAAAAAGGAGCTTTTGATAGTTTACTATTTGTTTTTCATCAATAACAATACAAATTACAGGTTTAATTGACACCAAACTATTTGTAATTGAGGTAGTGGTATACTTGTCTCTTGGCACAATGTGTTTGTGATGTTTATTTCCATCTTTCAGTGTGCTAAGAAGGCTTCTAAAATATTATTTACCTTTTTTTTTATTTAATTTGTATTTTCTTGGTAAAATTCTATGGAGTTTATGTTTTTTCAGGTTTTGTCTGCGCGCCTAGGGAGAAAGCCTGAAGAAATAATCAAACTTGATGCAAATGAAAATCCATATGGCCCCCCTCCAGAGGTGAGTTGAAATTTCTTTCTACCAAAGAATATGATTTTTAGTACATTTGCCATCTTATCAATTTATCTAAAAAGCTCAATAGTAGGTTTAATTAGCAATTAGCAAGTAGGTTATCAGTGTCAATTTAATAGTGAGAATTGGACTGCATTCAACGTGTTTTAGGTAGGACTTAGTGGCCATCAGTAAAATGCACAGGATGCTTGGTGCTGGCCACCAGAACATAGATTGTCTTTAGTGTTGCATAACTGACAAGAATCTAATGTACAATTAGAGCCATCACCTCTAAAATAGAGTAATAATTGATGATTGAAGAATGCGAGGAAAGCTAGTGTAACTATGAGATAAGTTAGCTAGATGACTAGGGTCAAGTTATACTTTTGGCATGGAAACAATCTGAACTGGACGATTTTATTGCTTCCATGTGTCATGCTTTTTCCCCTCTTATCTTAACAATAATGTTTTGGTCATTTTGAGGGGTATTGTTGTTCTTCTACCAAATTATCAACTATTTTAATTCATGTAGTCTTTTTTAAAATAACTTATTGTTGAAATAATTCTAAGATGTTGGAACAAATAATTCTAAGATGCTGGAACAAATTTAATATTATCAATTATTTTAATATATATATATATATATGAATTTCTTATGATATGCACCTAGTTGTCAATCTCTCAATTCAATATTTTATTTTTAATATCTTAGACAAAAAATAAAGTATTTAAAGTGCAAAATAAGCAAAAGAAGCGAAACATAAAAATTTCATTAATAAAAAGCAAGTAGGCAGTCTTTAAAATTTTCTTTCTTTTTTCCCCCCTATAATGATGTCATAGGTTGCCGAAGCATTGGGAACAATGAAATTTCCTTATGTATACCCAGACCCAGAGAGTCGTTCCTTACGTGCCGCTCTTGCTAAGGATTCTGGTCTCGAACATGATTATATTCTTGCTGGATGTGGAGCCGATGAGTTAATTGACTTAATCATGAGGTTCAAATTAGAGCCCGAACCTCAATTTTTCTTCGAATTTACTTAACATATTTTCCTTTGCTATATTATATTGACTAGTAAAGACACTAGTAAAGATAATTGTGTGATTCTTACAATCTCCCACAGATGTGTGCTTGATCACAGTGACAGGATTGTTGACTGCCCTCCTACATTTACGATGTATGAGTTCGATGCAGCGGTAAATGGTGCTTTAGTTATTAAGGGTAAATAATTTTTTTTTTTTCCGCATATGTTTTGTAATTTTTTTAAATATGCTACTGTGGACACTTCACCGGAGGATGAACAGCACTTCAACTCCTTGTTTCATCCAAGCTCTTGTTTCATCCAAGCTATCCATGAGTAGACAAGCAGGGGACATTAAGGTCTTCGATGTGGAGAGGATAAGTAGTTTTTTTTGCTTTCCTTAGGTAAGTTTGATAGTTAGATTTGTTTGGATTTAAGGGTTGTAGAGAGATTTGTTTGGATTTAGCTAGTGAGGAGAAAGGGAATTGGATTGGGGGAGAAAAGGAGAGAACAAGAGGAGAGGGAGACATGAATAGAAAGGGAAGGGTTTGAATATTAGCTAAGGAGGAGGGGTTTTGTTTAGTTAGTATAAAGGAGTGGAAGGGAGTTAATTTTGGAGGGTTCATTTGATTTAGCACCATTAAGCATCAATTTACAAAGTTATTAGTTTAAAACTAGGCTTGATAGAGAAGGGGATACCTTGTTTGCCGAAATGCCCATTTTAAGTCCAATCTCATTACAAAAAAATGCTACAAATCATTGAGTTAATTTTAGAGTCGCGGTGGGTATTGATGTTGATGGTTTGATTGATAAGTTTGGCTTGTATCAAAGTTTTTTGGGTTAAAGAAACTCACTTCCCAATAGGTTTCTGAAGGTATGCTTAGGGTAATGTTTAGGATGAATATGCATAGGTACATAATATTCCTCATTAAATTTTTGAACGCTTCAATGAATATTTCTTACTAATTTGTACTTCTCATTTTAGATTTTATTTTCTAGTGATCTCATATGTAATATTATGCTTAATAATACTCTTGAAGGATGATCAACTCCTGAAAAATGGACATAAAAAGTGCTACAGTAGTCACATGAACTCCACTCACAAAAGTAATTTTTGATTATACAAGGAACTTGAAAGTGCCTCTAGATCCTCAATTTC